TTAAAAAATATTTTTTACACTCCAGTGCGTATTTCTATTTAGTGCAATTCTAATTTGTATAATTAATCAATTGATTCTTTGGATAATATGGTATATTATTATGTAAATACATTATTGAAAAGTGTGATACGACCAAAAAATAATATTATATAGATTGGTAACACTAAAATATTATTTTGTTAAATGTGGTACTTTTATAATTATAAAAATTATATGTATATAATTTTATCTAAAGAAATTTTCATGAAGTAAAAACAAATTCATTACGCTTTAACATCTTCAATATTCTTTAATTAAGTTTTGTAAAAATTAAAGAATATTTTTTGGAAAATAAAATGTGAAAATATTAAAGTGAAACACATACAATGTATACCTAATTGAAATTTTTTTATTTAAATTTCGATAATAATGAGCATTTAAATATAACCCGTGCAGAAATTTGAGTTAAATTTTAATAGGGACCTCGCTGTGCGTCCCTTTTGCCAGATGGGTTCCGGAAGGGAAACTCTAGTCGGGATCCGGCATTTTTGTCATGATCGACGTCAGCGAGGAATGTTGGTAGGGATCTAGCAGGGATATTCCTGCGATTTCCCTACCAGAAGTAAAGGGTTCTCGCTAGAACCCTATTAGCTCCCTTTAATCGATTATTATTAAATAAAAATTAATAAATATTTAATAAATCCAGAAAACATATTTATATAAAGATCCAACGTCCTTTCATTCGTGTGTGTTTTTGAAATTGTAGAGTTAAAAACGCCCGTTATGCTATTTATTATAGTCGTTAAGTTTAATTGAACTTCCTAACCTCCAAACTGTACTAACACAAATTTTAACTAGAATTATAAATAAAAAAGTTAGAAATCATAATATTACCTGAAGAAATTGGAATAATCATAGTAAAAATTAAAAATTTGCAATAATGATATTAACATAAAGACAAAATTTGAGGTTAGAAAACCAATCAATATATTTTTTACTTTTAATATTCTAAGTACATATTTCATGTTTGATAATATTAAATATTCTTAAATTGATAATATTATGTTAATATTTACCTTCTGATAAAGAAGATAAGTGATTTGAGTCATCTAAATTGTTAATATCCATAACTTGCTCTTGAACATATTGCATTCTATTTAATTCAACGCGTACGGATTTCACCTCAAGATATTGTTTGCTACGCATTCGCGATTGCTTTTTTTCCTCTCATTATTTTCCATTATTAATTAACAAAAGAACAATAAAATTCAGGTTCACACAAAATGACATGTGCACTTGCACCATTCATGTCATCATTCTCGACGATGGAACATCGATATATTGAAAACTTCGATACATCGATTTCGATATTTTCGATTTAAATTTAAATGTTATTTTTAAATTAAATAAAAAGTGAAACTATATATAATAATGTAATTTATTAATAATATTATTTTGATTCTATCACTCGGTGTTATTTAATAATAAATTTAATTTATTTAATAATTTTATTATTATAATTTATTATTATTAATATTTATTCTTTTTATTATTATTTCTAAAACGAACATTTTAAAAATATTTGTGTCCCTTATTGAACATAATTAAATTCATATTTTAAATAAAGAAAACATCGAAAAATAATCTAAGTCCGATTCGAGGTATTTTTGGCTAGAATTTAGTAAGAGCTTAATCAGATTTTTCTAATTTGAATTGCCTTTCTAGAATTCAAACGGGATCTCAGCAGATATTTCTAGTCTGAATTTCTCACAAGAATCTATTCAGGTTCGAGTACGACTTTTCTAGGCTAGATTTTCTAGCGCGGTTCTAGTCGGAATCCATTATCACGTTGGGAAGCTTAGAGATATTTCTACACGGGAAATGATGTATTATGAAATTCGTTGACATTTTTTCACTTTAAGAATAACAAATGGAATTAACATTCAAATAATTTTGACATTCTTTATAAGAGTTGTAAGCGAAGTTGAATATGATTAATTCATGACTTTGAATTTTAATTAAAGCGATTGAATAATTAAAATAAGTTTTAAATTAACGAAATATATACAAATACATAGCAGACGACTTATCTTCACGGCATTCTCGTGAACTAAGCTTTTTGTCATTAGCCAATGAGAATACTTTACAAATCGCGCGGTTTTCGAAAAGTATATAAGTAAAAATTTCCGAGAACAATGTGAAGTTAAATTAAAATTAATGCATCCGTAAATGAAACTTAATACATCAATGAATTGTTATAACTTTCATTCAATATTGAATAAAATAATTCAGTCATTCGAATGACTTAAAAGTGGATAGATTTTAAGGCGTTTTCTAACAATGTACTAGCGATAGCTCACTGTCGACGAGCGATCCTAAATGACCTAATAAAAGAGTTCATGCAAACTGTATGAAAATTTTTAATCTTTCTAAAATTGCATTAAATTTTGATTCAGATAAAAATTAGGTCAAAATTTCTACAAAATTTATTCCCACATAATTTAAACAAAAGGAAATAACAAAAATACTTCGTTTTTTTTCTATTAAAATACTAAAACTATAATTGTAACGTCTTTATATTTGAAATATATAAATTGTATTCGAAAATCTTTTCGAAAAATTGGACATAATAAAACGATGAATAGATAAAATACAATGAAAACTTTCCTATTGAATTGAAATCTACAATCACTTCATCAATTTTGTGTGTAATAATCTTTTTAAAAGTTTATCCCAATCGATTCATATATGGGTACCACTAATATGTTACATAAAGATACACATTTAGAAATACAACTGTTTAAAGTTTATAAACAAATGAGACAATTTCTAGATACATACAATATACACATTGAAAAAGGTGCGGTACTCTATGGCAGATAGAGTCTGAACGAATCTCTCTTTCTTTCTCTCTTTCAGATCGCGACCGCGATCTTTCTCAGAAGTCCGCTTATTCACCGCGGAAGTACCGACAACTGTACCATATAGCATCCAGCATCAGTAACGCCGGCAGTAACCGTGGTCTGTTCCCATCAGAATCGAGAATGCCCGACAGTCGTGAGCCCATATGTCTCTTGCATTTCGCCGACATATATATATATATATACTATATAACCTTATATTCTTATACCTGAAAGATATCTGGATGTTTAGACTCATACAGTAAGCGCACTAATGGCGATAAAAGCCTGATTCAGTCGCGGAAAAACTCCCAGAGACGTCGTAAGTCCAGATTAGTTTATCTCTAATGGGTAAACTGGATGCTGACTTTACTCCTCTCAAATAAAGTTTTATGCTGGGAAATATATATATATATATATATATATATATATAATCATCTCATCATCGTCGTGAATTCATTTCCTTATCAGCTTTTAGAACTTTAATTCAAATTTGCTGAAATATTTCATGTTAGTGAAATAAAAAATATAATTAATCTTGAGTACACTTTTAATGAGTGAATCAGCCATTAGAGTGATTTCACTTCTTTAATTGTCACTATTTAATTGATTCATTAAAACTGATTGAAAACTGTAAATTCAATACTCAAGGCTATTTTAATGATAAAAATTAAAATTATCATTTATTTTATATTTTATTTTTTGACTGATACGATATTTTACAAAAATATATTCGAGTGGTATCAGTTTTATAATAATTTATTTATTTTATTTATAAATAATTTATTTAACCAAAATTTATATTTATGTGGTAACAGTTCATATAAATTATATTTATAAAGTAAAGATATTCCCCTTCCGAAATGTTTAATAGAAAGTTGAAAAAAATTTGATCCTTGGAAGGAATAAAATAACATAAAAAAAATTATGTTTTTAAATGTTGTTTATTGACACAAAACAAAAAACGACGTTTCGATGACTTGGTTCGTCATCATCATCTTCAGGTTAGACATACGTATCGTCGAGACTAAATTCAAAAATACAAAATTTAAAACTCTAAATGAAATAGATGAATCAATGAAGTTAGATGTAAACAGAACGTGGTAGTGAAATATTTTCTGAAAAATAGAATCACGAGTTTAATTTGGAAATTAAAGGGAAGTAGATTTTATTTAAATACATTATTATGTCTTGTTTTTCATAAATAGTGCGAAATCATTAATTTTTATATGTAACATTTCTGAAAAACAACGTTTTTTATAATTTTGTTCACGGTCTAGTATAACGACATTATCCCAATCAAAATCATGATTCAATTCTGATCCATGTAATCCTACTACTAATTGAGCAGATATTTTATTTTTAATATTTTTATCCTCATTAATACGTGTTTTTAATAAGCGTTTGGTTTATTAACAATAGGAATAGTATGTATGTTAAGTTTTTAGAATTTTAGACAATCTAATGAAATCTGAATTATTATGAGGTAAACTAACTTTAGGAATTTGTTTATATAAAAGTGCTTGTTAATTTACAGTATTATTATTTTTTTACGAAATTTAATACTATTTAAATGAATTTTGGTGTTTCGCAATAAATTTAAGTGGATAATCATAAGCAATAACATTGCTCGGTCTGTAAGATTATATACAATGTTTATTTTTTGTTGTTTTTGTTTTTGTTTTTGTTTTTGTTTTTGTTTTTGTTTTTGTTTTTGTTTTTGTTTTTGTTTTTGTTTTTGTTTTTGTTTTTGTTTTTGTTTTTGTTTTTGTTTTTGTTTTTGTTTTTGTTTTTGTTTTTGTTTTTGTTTTTGTTTTTGTTTTTGTTTTTGTTTTTGTTTTTGTTTTTGTTTTTGTTTTTGTTTTTGTTTTTGTTTTTGTTTTTGTTTTTGTTTTTGTTTTTGTTTTTGTTTTTGTTTTTGTTTTTGTTTTTGTTTTTGTTTTTGTTTTTGTTTTTTATTCGAAAAGTAACTGATGAGCCTGCCAGAAGAAGATGATTTTTGATACCAGTTATATGTAATTTCATTATTTTTTATAATTATAGAAATATCTAGATAGTTGATTTGATTGTTATCTTGTTGTTCATAAGTGAATTTTAGTTTATTGTGATAAGAATGAAAAATTTCAATAACCGGGTTAATATTATCTTTATGTATACATAAAATAGTGTCATCAATATATCTAAAGTAAAAAATAGGTTCACAATTATGTTCAATTTTTAATTTTTTAAAACAATCACTTTCTAAATCATCTATGACAATATTAGCAAAAAAACTCAGAAATCGAAGAACCCACAGGAGTACCATCAATTAGTTGATAATATTTTCCATCGAAGATAAAAAATGTGTTTTTATAAAGAAATTCAGTGCAGTGTAAAATATCATTAAAAGGGATTTAACCATTATTGATATTTATGATTCTACGTTCAAGACTTTGAATAACAAAATCGATTGGTACGTTGGTAAAGCAGAGATTTAACATCAACGGAGACTAAAATGTAATCAATTGGAATATAAGAATTTTTTATTTTTTCAATGAGTTCAAAACTATTATTAATGTGTGATTTCAGAATACAGATATTATCTTTTAATTCATTATACAACGTTTTTGCTAAAAAAAAAATGTGTATGACTATTTATTAATGAAACAATAGGACGAAATAGAATATCTTTTTTATGAATTTTTGAAAGACCATATAGAATCTTGATAAAACAGTATCAGTTAAAGTTAATGCATTGTAGTGATATTTGTATTTTAAGAATTCATTGTCATTTAAATATTGGAGAATTTTACTGGTATTATTTTTAAGTTTTTTAAGAGGGTTGGTATTGAGAAGTTTATAAGAAGAAGTGGCAGAAAAAAATAAAAAAATCTTTAAGACAATTTATGCTTACGTGTATATATTTTTTTTTGTACAAAGTGTGTTAATTTAACGAGTAGTTTAAATTTGACAAGTAGCATTAGGGTTTTTTTTTTTTGCTTCTGTGGAGGTAATACGACACAGCACTTGAAATTCCAATAGGATGAAGGTTTGCAAAAACGACTTAAGTACTGCTACATATGGGCGTAAGAGGGTAAAATGGTCAAATGGCAAAATGCAAGATCCATTCTCAGGTGCACAATGCAAGTCTTCTAGACTACTTAAAATGCATTGGCAATATAAGCTTTAGTAAGAACCACGAGAGCTGTCTATGGTTAAAGTTTTAAGACGCTTCTCTCAGCAATAAGACCTTTAAGTCAACCTCTTCTAGTTGCTTATAAGTGCGTGTTCATGACAAAAATTTACACAAAGAAAAAATAATGCTTCAAGCGGTTCAAAGTGCTTGCAGTTAAGCGTTTAATTAGTATGCAAAATGAGTTGGTTCGTAACACTAAAGTTTCTTGATTTTATTATATACTAAACATGCAGATTGTACACACCTATTATAGATGACATTCACACAATTTTTCCTCGAATTGATTATTGAATTAATTTCTATGTAGTTGAATGATTGCTAATTATTTAATTTAGCAAATTCTTGATGAAGTTATATATTTTTGTTTCGTTGGTAATTATTTTTAAATTATTGGTAGAATGACTCGGTGGAAGTGAGATGCCGGATATGAAGCAAGAAAGGTGCTGGACCATACAGTGTATATATGAGAGGGGGCGATGGGCTGTGGCGAAGTGGAAGAAGATGAAGAAGAACTCCGGTCATCGGAAACGTCGTGTGTGCGCTAGCTGAGAACAATTTCGCCAGCACTAACGTGTGAAATTACTAGAGGCTATTTCCACGCATTTCTTGTCTCGATTCCCGCAGCGAGTGACTCGCGACCAGCAACTGGTCACCATATGACTTCTTAGTACTGGGGCACTACATCTTTTAAAGGTTTGTTGCTTCCTTCTATGTGTGTGTGTGGGTGAGTGTCAAAACCTGTACAAGAAACTAAGACCGACAAAAGGTGTAACTTGTTTTTTTTATGCCATTCTGAAATGATTAAAAACTTCGAAGTAAGTGGAAAATCGTAAAATACATTCATTGGAAGAAATTTTTAAGTTAAGGATATTGAATTTGTAACTTCCTGCAAACGATAAATTATTTATTTCTCTGGAAGATTCCTCGAGCCATTATCAAAAACAAAAAATTTGTATTATAAAAAACTTAGTTGATTCGGCAGCCTAACAGCATCCGGATATTCAGCATGTCCTACTGACGTCCTGAAGATATCATTTTATCATCTTAGGAATATCTTAATTTCCCATGACAAAATAATATCTCCAGAACGTCCATAGACCAATATTCAATTTTTATACTATATTTACTCTTTGAAAGGCAATAAGAGACCATTTAAGTATTACATATAATTATTTAATCGAAAAAAAGTCTACAAATTTAAATTCTCTCTCACTAATTTTGTAAATTTTTAAAAATTTAGAAATTTACATCAATTGATTTTAGCTAATTCATTCATAATATGTTTATGCCAATAATATTTCTCATTATAATAATGTATAAATTCTAGTTTTAATTTTAAAACATTGCCCAATCCTCCAATTTGCACTGTTTCACTGCCACTAATCAGAAATGTGCTTCCAGGTAAAAGAATGATATTCCTCTCTTTTTTTCTATAAAATTGATCTATTTTCACCCTTACATATAATCCATTAAATATCATTTCATAAAGAATGTTTGAATAACCAACAGTTGGATAACCAACAAATTCTGTAGCAGTTCCTGCATTTGAAAATGCTAGTACAAATTTTTGCAAAGTAATATATTGTTGAGAAGATATATTTTGGATAATTGAAATAGGTTTAGTTTCAAATCTAAATAATTTTAATTCCAATTTCTCTTCATATTCATCAGATTGTCTCAATGCTAATTTATATAATGCAATTTTCATAAACTTTGCTTCCTGTGTATCACCTGTTATTCTTTTATATCCTGTTGTTGCGTAATTTCTTATTGCATAGTAATCATGAAATGTGCAAGAATATCTTGCATTTTGTTTATTGTAATCTGTAATTATTCTGTTTATCGATGATTCTTCTTCAATTTTACTTCTTTCTATTTTAGTGTAAAAAGAATTGATTCTAAATTCAGCTTCAAATTCTGATATATTGTGGTTTTCAAAATGTATGTTGTATCTTAATTCATTTAATAAATCACGATTGTTTATTATATATTTTCTACCCCAATTGGGTTCATTAAAGGAATTGTTGTCCAGCCCATCATTGATAAATCGCATAAGAGTTGCGTTATCTGGAAATGTGTAAGTTTCAAGTATATTGCGTATTACATTTTCAGAAAGATTTAACTTTTTCTTAACGAAGTTTATGGCTTCATTTTCGTAGTAAGATTTTTCATTTAAAAGTCGTCGTCTTTGGCAAAGATTAATAAATTTTTCCTCTTCATTACATTTTTCATCATAATTAATCATTGATATTCCAGAAAATAAAAGTTTAATTGGTCTTCTCCTTAGTTGATTATTAATTTCATACATAATATGATTAGGTTCAGGTTGAAAGCTTACGTTATTTAAAGCAATAAAAATATTCCTTTCTTTCTCCAAATACCATTGCAAAAATAATTTCTCATCATTAAAATCATAGTCAGTTCTCAATTGTGCAATTTCTGAAATATTGGAAGATAGAAAAATAAACTTATAACCATAACCAGTATTACTATGATTTTGCAAAGTGTTTACGAAAACCAATCGACTATTTTTTTCACCAATAGCATAAATGCTTTTGTAAACATTGGACTTTAAAATTAAAATCTTAGAAAGACTACTTATGATTGAAGTAAAACTGAAGTCAGTTTTTTCTTTTAAAGAATTAATTATTTTTTCAAGTAATCTTATTGTGTCTTTGGTTGCATAGGTTAGTTGAAATGCAGGATATTTTAAATATAAAGGAATATTCTCAAATATTTTATTTATATTTAATACAAATATTATTGAGAATTGATATTGATTTTTCGTTAGAATTTCATTTAGTGTTTCACTAGCTGCATTTTTTAAAAAAATTGATCTGATTGTTGTGCCTAATGAATGTTGATAGTCGTGTAAATATTTTATTTTATTTGATACACAAATACTTCCATAATAATTAGTGTCCGACATATTTGATAAACATGGATAGTATGGCACTAAAGATAAACCGAATTCCTTCCACCAATCATTTTTCAATGATTTATTGTGTCTTTTATAATAGTTGTCTAAATATGTCAAGTGTGACTCTAATCGCAATTTTTTGTACTTAATATAATTTTTAAAAAATTCGTTCATGTTTTCATTAGTTGTTTTTAAAATTTCAAGATTTGGTGTACTAGATAATTTTTTAAAACATATCTTCATTTCTTGCTGAAAAACTTCTGGATTATCAGCTTTATTTATAAATATTATATTGTAATCGTCTCGTCTTAAAATAAAGTAGCCAAAGCTTTTGTTGTTGGGAAAATATAATTCCAAAATGTCGCATGATGAATGTTCTGACTTTGATAAATCATCATCAGATTTGAGTGTATTGTTAGAATCTAGTATTTTTATAATAATTCCATCTTGGTTAAAATTGTCTATTAGAGATTTTGGAAAGACCTCTTGGACTAGTTGAAAATCATATGTTTCATATAATTCACTGATTGTATAAATTTGACTCATCAAGTATTGTTTTAAATTAGGTACAGGTTTGACAAATTTACATTGATATGATTCTGGATAATGTAAATCAATTGGAAGTCGTAAAATTTGTTGGCTTACTGCTAAATGAGTACAATTTTGCTCTTGAAAAGTTTTCAACAATGAGGCACTACTTTGAAAATTAGAAAGTGCCAAATGCATTTTCACTATGTACTCATTCCTTAAATTGACTTCAGGGTCATTAATTGCTTTAGATATATATTGAAATAATTCCTGATAAGCTGTACTCCAGAAATTTGATTGTGAAATTATATTTTCCATGTTTTCAAATTCAAATAAATATTTTGAATTCAAAATATAATACGAAAGAGCAGGAAGAGCAAAAGCTTTTGATATTTCAAAATTCTTCTCGTCAGATAGAATTAATTTTTCAATTACACGTCCAATTAATAAGTATTCTTCAAATAAATTTTCTTCAGTTAGATTTTCATCACTACTTTCAAAATCATTATAATAGGCAGTATTTATTCTTCCAGGTCGAAGGAACATTAAACCAGCTTGAGCATAAATATAATCATGAGACAATAAACTAAGATTAGCCTTTGGTCGAGGAAACAGAGGCAATATTATATCGTTATATATTCTATTCACTGATAAATTACTGAGAGTAGATTCATCGCCATATTCATTTTGAAACAATGCAATCTCAAGATTTTTTCTTATCATATTCAATATTTGATTTACTTGAAAACATTTCGCTCTACAAAAAACATCTGCCAAGAAGCCATAAATATTACCATATTTGTCAAATATTAAAGAACTAATAATATATTCGAACATCACATTAACAAAAGTGATATCAAAATGTTCATTGTCTTTTTCTCCATAAAGATCGCTGCCTTTTAACAAATTTCTTATTAATTTATTTTTATTCTCAAAATTATTCTGATTATCGTCCAAGTATTTATAGAGTGCATTAACAATTGGTATTTGTTTATTTTGATCAATTTCTGACAGGTAATTTTCAATAAATAAAAAGTCACTAAGTATGTTTAAGTAAGTGAAAACTGGTATAAGCTGTACAATTTCAAGTGCATTTTTAAATGTATCCATTCTTGAAAGTTGAGTTTTATTAGTTTAAAATTTATATTTACCAGTCTATGAATAGTAAGAATGTATTTCACTATATTAGTTGCCACTGATTTCACTGTTGTTTCATCTGATGAAGGCGAATGAAATTGAAATAATATCTGCAAAAAAATCATAAATAAAATAAATATTAACAATTACGAATCACTCTTTCTCTAATTAAATTTAAATTAGTAAAACATTATTGTACCTCATATTGTTTATAAAAAAGCAGTTACTGATCTTAATGTGAAAATTATCGCTGTTAATAGATATACTTATACCCATAAGTTAAAAATTTTTAGATAACATTTTTGTTTTCCAAGAAACAAATTCTTTTACCTTATGTGTCGTTTTATTGATACAGTTGAAGAATTAAAATATTATTTTATAGTGATGAAATACAATATTAAATTAATAAATTCGTAAAACATAAAATAATAACCCACGTGGAAACGAAATATCAAAAAGAAAATATAACGATTACAATCGAAAAACATGTTTTTCCTTGTTATTTGTTTTCTCGTTCTTGTTCTATTTATTTTACTTCACACAAAGACACGTGTAGTGGTTGTTTTATGTTTCAAGGTAATAATGAATAACAATATTAGAAATAATTTACCTTAAAAAAATAATTTATTATCCCCTTGAGAGTCCATGGCCCTTATATGTTCAAAAAAAAGTCGTGCCACCTTTGTGAGTTTGCACATAAATGTCCATCTTAGAAAAAAATACTAAACATAATTCGATTTGAGTGTCAATGGGTATACTAAGGTTTTTGGACATTTGAATTTTTTAATTTGACCTTAAATTTGAATTCAGAGATCCTAGAAACCCCAGAATACCAAATTTGAAATGAATCGAATCAATTTTAAATTTTTCCCCCATATTGAGTCCGCCATTTTGAATTTTTTAAATTTGACCTCAAATTTGGATTCAGCGACCCTAAAAACTTTTAATACGATAATATGATATTTTTCTAAAAACTATTTTTTTGGACCGTTTTAGACCCACAAACGATTTTTTAACTAGACTGTGAAGAGGTTAAATATTTAATTTATTTCTAAATATCTATAAAAATAAAATTGTTTAATTTCAGATATTCTATCTTAATTACATAATAATAAATTTGTAAACTCTTTAAGAACATATTATATATCTGCTACTGTATATGATATTGCAAATCTTTTCAAAATCATTTAACAGAATGTTTTATCATCCGATACAACCTTAGGAAGGAATACCGTAAATCCTGTACCACTGAAAAAAAATATAAAAAACCTATGAGTTTCGTTTTTAGTTCCACTAAATGCTAACAGTTTCAGAAATAATATTTAACTTCTGATTACAAGATGACATAAACTCTATAATTACATTTTAATTGAAATTACATTTTTAAAAAAAGTCCATCAAAAATCATTTATCATAGGTTGCTAATTTCTTTTACATTCGATATGAAACCAAAAAAAAAAAAAAAAACAAAAAAAAAATAGATACATGGTCATGAAAAAGAGATCGTGATGTTCTTGGGTTCATAATGGCCATACGACCGCACACGGTAAGCTACTTTCTTTACCTGCGAGATGCTTTTGTACAAAGACATAATCTCAATTGCGGATATCTTGATTAGCTTCGCTCTTGTCGGCATAAAGTTAGTGTAACTGTTTTTTTTTCTACAGTAAGCTGAAAGACCATTAACCTATGACCAATTTATTGTTATATATATATATATTTTTTTGTTTTTGCCAGTTCTCTATCTATTGACCTGATGATCAAAGGTCAATGTCATCATTGGGATTTGTAATTAATTAGAAAATTATTAAGATCATCAATAAAGCCGGTTTTGATGAAAAGTAGCTATGCGTGCCTCATAAGTTACATGCTCTACGAGCAACACGGACCATCTCGTGAGTTTCATACTCGTTAAATGTGCAAAAGCCTACTCTCGCGTACAAATAATTTACGAGGTATTTTTGATAATCTCCACAAAGAGAAAGCCAACTCTTATTTTTCCTATAATTTCCAGCTAAATTCTAACTTTATGTTGTATATATACATACACAAAACATAAAGTTAGAATTTAGCTGAAAATAATACATATACATTTATATACACAATAAGAAGCGAGGAATTAAGAAGAATTGAGAATTTTTTGATATTTATTTATTTTTTGATATTTAAAGAATTAAACAGTTCATGAATTTTTAAAATGGAATAGATTCGAATTCACTCTCAGGCGAATTAATAATTAAGAGTATTGAATTATTTTTTTTTAGCAAAGAGAGACCTTTTTTATCACCCTTTAAAACTGGCACTGAATGTGAAAATAATAAACATTGATTTTAAAATACTTTTTTTGCAAAACACTGGCACTTTTTACTAAATCAGTCAACATATAAAGGATCCTTATCTTATAAACTTCCAAAATCCGAAAGATTATGTGAATTAATTTTCAAAACGTGATTGCAGAATGGGAAATAGGAAAGTAATATAATGACAGTCTGTAGGAGGTTTATTACGTCCAGTCGCCGTCAGATGTCAGTAGTATGCAGGGAGCACGAAATCGCAGCTGTCATTATATTACTTTTCTATTTGTAATTTTGCAATCGTGTTTTTGCATAGATTTGCACATTCTTTTGGATTTTGAAAATTTATTAATCAAAGATCCTTGGTATGTTGGCCGATTTTGTAAAAAGTATCAGTGTTTTGAGAAAAAAGTATTTTATAACGATAGTAAAATAAAAATGTAATATTCTAGTTATTTATATTAATATAAATAATTAAACTATTTGAATACGTGGTGAGAATCGAAAAGCTGTATAGAAAGTAATGATACACGTAATACTTGTAAGAAGTACGTAATTTAGATGATACAGTGTCATAAGTCGAGTAAAGTACGTTGTAAGTTCTCACTTCTCATTGGTCCTTTAATGGTGTTTATGGGTGATTGCACGCCATAAGAGTATAGTTGGGAAGCATTACTCTGAAAAAGAGTTTTGCACGAGATCAGTAGGAATTCTACTGCGATAAATGGAATACGCGTATATGTACAATGAAACAATATGTATATCGTCACTTCTCGTGAGCATGAAAAGGAACGCAGAGGAACATGAAAACAGTAAATTTCAGTGTGAATATTGTCATTGAGAGGGTCACGAGTTCAATTTTAAAAAAGTTTCTCTGCTGATACCGATCTTCTACAAACAGTGACTCTTCTTTAACTCGTAAACATATATTAACTATTTTTTTCGCGATATATGTGTTTTAATTAATTTATAATACCAGTGGTTCCTATAGTATTTTTTTAATTTTCAAAAATTTATTTTGATGATTCCAAAAAATTTTTTTGTCATTGATATCCAAATCTTAAAATTCACTTCAACCAGTACCATCCAATACAGTTTGTGCATAATAACAAACAGAAAATTGATTATTTAACGAAATGTTAATGGCATTTGCCCTTTAAAAGCGCAAAAGTATTAAATGTGTGGGGTCCATTTGGTTCATACACTAATCCAAGTTATTTTATTTTTTTTTTTTGCACTCGGAAGAAGGAGTCATAATTCATATGTAAGAGGTCTTTGGGTTCTCATTGTCGGTGCTATATGTGTAAGGAAGACAATAAAAAAATGAAGTGTGCAAAGACTTGAAGGTACGGATAAAACAGCAAGCTAACGACGACGATACTTGTATTTAACTCTCTGCTCAACATAACCTCAAATGAAAGTTACGCATTCGCGCGTGTGAGTAAACTCATAAAGACGCGCATTTGAATATGAATAAATCGTGTTTGTCCGTCCATCTGTCCATGCGGGTTGGGAGTGTTTTACGCATGCGCATTTATGGATTGTTTAATGGCAACCGCCTACAAATTAGACGAGCTGTAAATCAGTATTGAAGTAGAGACCTCCGCCATGTGCACAATGCGAAGAAGCATATTATTGTTCCTTATAGTTGCAAAAATAAATACAAAAAAAAAACTATAAAAATCTTTCAGTTATTGTGATTAAAATTTTGTGGAATTTTAAATAAAAATAATGATGACATTTTTAATGTAACAGTTCGAGATCTTGTTTTGCGAATTCTATACTCTCATTAGAAAGAAACTCTGACTAGGCAGTTTTAGAGAATATGCCACGCAACAGTTTGCCTTGAAGGCTAACACTTGTTCAGCGTTGTTAAATTCTTTTTATTTTTTCAACAAAATAAAAGCGTATATCTTTGATGTGTGGAGAAATAATATATAGATATAAGAGCTTTTGAGATTGATGGTGGCGGCGATGAAAAGACCCAGGAAGACCAGAAGTCGAAGGCCGTTCGAGAATCGCTTTCTTTTAACAGCAAATCAAATGCGAATGGTTGGCTTATAGAGTTCGCGGGAGAATAAAAGACACCAAGAGAGCGAATAGTGATTACTACGCGAGGTGCTTTGAAGCTTGATTATCTCACCTGTCCAGACTCTTTTACTCTCGCTCTTGTGAGATATATAATAGGTTGTTCGTCCTTGTGACAGTGGACTGCCACTGGCCACTACCTATATGTAGTGGGATTATTTTCTTTTGCGTGTGCTATGTCTTTTGCCACTGCTACTTCTTCTTCTTCTTTCATCCAACGATCTCTGCCACCTCCACACTCTCATAAAAGAATTATTATTCTTTTCTTCTCTTTCATATCCTCTGCTCTCATTTGCGACGTGTGAGAGATCACTTTGGTCACGCTGCATTAACAATGTCTTGGACATTCAACTCATCACTGAGTTGAAATCCCTTTCTCTTTCTCAGGAAGCCAGGACAATAATAACATCCAAGAATTGAATATCAAGAACAGTGACAACAGTTGTTAATAAAAATTTTTTCGGCTGTAAGGGGAAAACACATTAGAGGGTTCAAAAAATCGAATTTTTTGTATAAATAGTGTTTGTCTTTAAAATTATGTTGAAACAAATTTTTATGAGCGAAATTCTATGTCCTCTCTGTGCTACAGGTAATAAACGGAGCTGACTCCGAGTAGCAAAGCAGGTAGGTAGCGGCATTGCTGATGAAGATCTTTTTGTGATTTGACTTATGAAGAAGAGGAAGGACTGATTCAAACATTAACATTAAACTACTGTCAATTTTTCCATATTTTCACTTAAAAGTTAGTTCAATTAATAATGAAATATGTATAAAATTTGAAGAATCTTCATTTTTTGCTTTCAGATCAAATTTGTGAATTCCACACTGCACAACAATCATAAACTCAAAAGACGAAGCTCCAGGATTAATAGCTGCTAACTTGGAATGTTTTTAATAAAAATGATTAAAAAAATTA